TACATGCTAGCACCTCATGGGCTGGAGTGGGATGGCCTGCATATTCGAGTGTACTTGAGGCACTCCAAGGATTGCTCTGAACTTGAACATGAAGGTTTCACCAACTTCCAGTTTCAATGGTTCTCATATTGGAGGCTGTGGAGACCTACAACCTTTTTATCTAAATAGAAATTACTTTCATTACAAGATATTTCCTCTAATACAATGCATTATGTTCAAATGGCTTTTGAAAGCACCTTCTGCAATCTGGGCACTGACCTTCTGCACTAGCAAGTCACAGAACAGAAACTGCCATCAAATGCATGCAAAGAGCTTCATGGCATTCACAGGTGACATCACAGCTAAATTAGTCAGGAAGAACAAGAAGCTCTCCCTTTACACTGTGTTAAGGGAACAGGTTGCAAAGCCACCTGGTTTCATAAGAATTTAAACTAGCTGGATATCATCTTTTGTTCCCAATTTAGTTACATGAATAATTAAAAATAAAACCCGGATTACTATATTTCGCTATTTGTTAGTGTTTATCTAGGTGTTTTTTTCAGAGTTAATGAGCTGCTATCACTTTCATGTGGTGACTTCACAAATGCACCTCAATTCCATTTTGTAAGGCAAAGAAATATTTCCACAATTACGTTACACTCATGAACTGAGTGGATTTCACTCCAACACTAAACTTGGTTTTACTGGCCAGAATAGATGGAGTTTCTTTTGGTATTTCTGTGCTAGTACCTTTCCCAGTTCCTGAGGAACACAAGTAAAAAAGAACAAAGAATTTAGAGAGCCTTTACACTGACTGCAGTTGGCCTTCCTATTCTTCCAAATTCTTGCAGATCACTGTTACTCTGAATTTTCAGAGAGGACTACAGTCAAAGGGTGAGCAAGCCACTGGTTTCAGTTTTGTAAATTTTCCTTTGCCAGAACTGTTTCTTGCAACACGCAGGGAAGGTGACCACTTTTCTTTGTGCAAATTTTTAGTTGCAAAGATATAATACTTTGAGGAAAGGTTGAGGGGTGTCCCCCTCTCCTCCTTTATTTATTAGAAATATAGTAATCCTTCCATCATTCAGATACAGAAAGCAACAAAAAACTTTTTTTTAAGTTGTGGTACTGAGTTAAGATGGAAAAGGAAATTATACAGACAAAAGTTTAGGAAATAATGAATTGTTTGTGTAATAAAGCCTGGGCCAGTAACTATCTCACTACAGAGTCTCATATTGCGTACAGGGAGGAAAAAAAAGGAATATTCATCTCTATTCCAGCCACACTCTTCCTTGCTTTGATTATTGTTTGTCACTTGCCATGACATATTCTGGGGGTACTTTGATAGTTACACTCATAGTTATACTGGTCTTGCCTGCTCCAATTGTTACCAGATCTGCAACCAGCACACTTCAAAGCATTCAGTAGCCTGATGGAAACGACTTCAGATATTATCTGACTCTCTATACTGTCCTTGGTGCCCTTTCATCCCTTCTCTTATCTGGCTGTGACTGCTCATCCAGGGTATGACTTCTTTAGTTCTGTGTGGGATATCTCTCTCTCACACTGTTCTGGGTCTGGCTGCTCCCTCTGTGATGCAGCTGTCTTGTTTCTCTGTTTCATTACAGCTGGCTGTTCCTTGCTGATCATTGCTGCTCATGTTATCCTTGTTGCACTCTCTCCTCATCTGTTGATGCAGCACTCCAGGGCTATGATTCCTGCTGTCAATTATTTCTGGTATGGAAAGGCTGTCACACTTTTTGCTTTGATTTAACAATTCTCAGATCCACTCTTGTGTTCAACAGGCTGTATTTCCTGCTGCACTTGGGATATAACGACTTTTCCCATCATGGGAGGACAATATCTTATTTCCAGCTGCACTATGAAGATGTGAGTTGAGAGCCTTGTATCATCTACCAATACTGTTTGCTTATTAATGAACTATCATGATTTCTTGTTTTTCTCTACATATTTGTGGTCCAAGTGGAGGATGATGACATGTTCCTCTCTGAGGAATGACTAGTATGATGCTTTTGAAAGAGACAAACACTACCATCAACAGCTTCAGTGGAAACACTGTGTGAGTGAAATTAGTGCCTGTTTCACTCTGCTTGTGGGATTACCTGAATACGATTCTTCAGGGGTTTATGTTGTGAGACTTCTTACATGCAATCACTGAGGACAAGAAAGTGGAAAGGAAAAATGTATTCAGCTCCTAGGCATTTAAATAGCACAATCTCAATGGTTATCTCCAAAATGTATAGAAAGAGTAAGAGGCAAATCTTTAAGGTGACAGCTGAGTGTCTAGCAGACATGGGCATATTAATGGTGTCTAGCTGATTTATGCCATATTGATGACAGTAAAGACAATGAAATGACAATGACTTTCCATGACTGTCATTTCAATGAAGAAAAATTATATGGGAGAAAGTTTCATCATTTTGTTTTACACTGAAAACAGTAAAGAGAGAAAAGAGATTGCATAGACAATCTAAGGTCCCAGGAAGCACTAGGTGGACATTAAAAAAAATAAAAAATAAAAAATAAAAGAGAATTAAAAAAAAATGCAGGGGAAAGATACTCCAGCATGTTTTGCTGGACTGTATAAAATGATTATTTTAATAAATACAGTAGAAAAGGCCTCACTGATGGTCCTGACCCAAAGTTTACTAGAGTCAAGAGAAAAAAATATATAATATTTTTCAGCAATTTAAAAAATAAGTCAGCAAACAACCAAAAATCCATCCCTGAAACACAAGCAAGAATAGAAATCAGGGTTCATTGTGTAAGGAGGGCTTTGAGACACCTAATATATTTGAGCAAACACCTGACCAGGTACAACTTGGATTTTATTGATATACCATTCATCACAGTTTTTATACTGGCAGACATTAGAGAGCTAGAAGGATAGGCAAAGGTTCTAGCTATCTCATAAAAGAGTTAATTTCATCAACAAGCAAGCTGATTTTAAGTGCAAGCTATGCATGCTTGCATACAAGATTGCATAGGAAACAAGAATGCAAGATCTACAAAATGCTAAATTTGTTCCAATTTATCCTCTGAAGGAATGGTGTCAGGTGCTGGGAAGAAAGTACAGAAACAGTGAAAAGAGCAGCTACGAAGCCAGTGGTAAAGTTTATTCCTCTTAGATACTGTTTGTATCTAAAACAAAAGGATGAATGGTTAGTTAGAAAAGCAGACAGCAAAACAAAGACTTTATAGGTGAAAGGGTCTGTGCTTTAATTTCCTCACCTAAGAAAGAGCCTAAGTATATTCTTCCATCACCATTCCTCAAGCTGTTTTGTTAGATCAAGTAACTGGGTTCAAAATTTACATGGTCAGGCCCTGATATGAACACATTCAGTGTCAGTTAAGGTCCTGGGAGAGCTGGCTATCAGAGAAGCTGAGTGGGGAAGCTGCCATATCCACTGGGCTGGGCATGGGTATTGTTACATTAAAAATGAACCTTTAAATAGACAGACAGATCATGTAAATGAAAATTCCATGATGTTTGTAAAATATTCATATGATGAAATGATAAGTGCTAAGCATTACAGTTTACTGTGTGATATTACTACTATCACATTAACAAGAAAAAAAAAATTAGCTTGAAATACTAAGATACTGATGTGAGATAAGCCTCTGAACCTACCAAGGTTCAGCTATCACCATCAAATATGACAAATATTTAAACGATGAGAATACTTCATTATGCTAAAAGTTGCTGGTTACAATTAATTGACCAAGATTCATATTTTCAAAGCCAGCTGAGGCATATTTGCAAACGGTACTTGGGATCTTGAGCAACTCTAGCATTTTAGAATGTTTTCCTAGCTATTTTATGTTTGAATATTACATCCTGCATGTACTACATGCACAAACACGCATCTGTCATTTGCCCACTCTTAAAGGAGTAAGAATCTTTAATGAAAGATAACTTGTTGAGTGGGAATAGCTGGTGACTGTAAGAAAGGATACACCTCTCTTTTAGCTCAGAATGAGTCCTGGGTAAACTGGAGGCTCAGCAGGCAAGTCAGTGCTATGCTGCTGCTGTCTTGTTACAGCCTGATACTAGGTAGCTAATGATGCAGAAGAAAAATACTGTCTGGTCCAAGGGTGATAGTCAAAAGACTCTTACTGTCTGGAGCAGGCAGTACCAGTGTAGCCTTCATAGTGGAAAGCTGCAGGCAACATCCCTGCATCACATGTCAAGAACATCTGCTCATGAAATTACAGCACAGTATTGGACACCATACTGTGCAGAGAATCATCATGTGGTATGATGATTCCAGATCCACCAGATTCCAAATTATTGGAATTCCAGATCCACCAGATTCCAAGATATTGGAATTCCAGATTCTGGTGGATTCCAAAATCCACCAGATTTTGGGTCAGAGGCTAGCAGAAAGCCCAATCATATGATGGAGAAGGTGGAACTGTATAGCACTTCCACTCCTTCATAGAAGTTATTCAGTCCCAAAGTTGGCTGAATCATTCCTACCACTGAAATACACATTGAAATTGCCTGAATTAATACACATTCCTTCATCACCCCACAAGTCAGTTCTTCTGCTCTCACTCTCCTGCAATGAGCAGGGTTTTCACTAGCTTTTAGAAAAAATTCTCATGCATAGAAAAAAAAAAGGAAAAAAACATTACATGTAACTTCAGTACTTAAGAATTTTTCAAGAGTTTCAAGAGGACAAAGACTACATACAAAGACTACATTCAGACGCTGCCACAAAATAAATAGTAATTAAAAGAACACACAAATCCTCTTGCTGCATTCTGACAGCCTCCCAACTTTATTTATAACACTTAATAACACCGGATTTGTTGAAGGTGATTGGATAAAATCACTGTAGTATATCCCAAACATATTCCACACAAATTAAAGTTTCTCACCTCTTAGCAACTGTCTATTATCTTTACAAGAATATGTGTTTTGCGGATGGAACACAATCTTCTAATAGCTACTGACATATCTATTTATAGAGATAGATAGGTTTAATTAGTCCCACCTTTTTATATGCAATCCAGTCAAACACCCTGTCAATGTCTGTGGCTTGCTGCACCTCCTGGGATACTGGATGTGAACTGGCCAAACCATCCAGCAACATCACTTCATGTAGGACATCTGTCAGAAATCTCTGCTTTTCCTGAAATACAGCATAAGCAGTAATATCACAGACACATATACATTTAAAACAATATAGATGCACAGTTATCAGAAGCAGCTTCTGTATGACAGACGATTAAAATTAGACCTTCTGGTTTGAATGTAAGCCACCATCAAGTCCTAAAATCTTGAACATGTATATGGAACAGACAGGAACTACATCTAGCATCTAGGGATCCTACTGACTTGAGACCATTTGCTGAAAGCAAACTGACTGAAATTAAATTAAAGACTATTCAATGAATCAAAATGTATCTGTAAGTGCAGACTGCAATCCTCATTACCATGACAATTCACTCCCAGTTACCAGGGGTAGGGAGATAGGAGAAAGTAGCATAGTCTTCAATCACTAAAATATATGGAGGCTACAGACCAGCACTCATAGAGCTCATTGCATACATAGGCACAATCACTTTTGACAGAGATGAGTAAATACAATTATTACTGCTTTACTGTGTAGACCCTGAGGCATATTAACATTTAAGTCACTTGGCTATTAGTGCCAAGTTCACATAGCAGGTCAGCATGGGACAGTACAATGAACAGAGCCCACAGCACTGTCATAGCAAATGTCTGCACCATCTTTTGTAATTCCTGTACAGAAATTGTTCTTCAAGAGCTTGTGTGCTCAACAAACTTTATCTCCTTCATTTCATAACCTCCATCTGAAGAAAATCATTCCTATGTCTCTTTACAAGTGAGACCATGGCTGTATGTAGAAGTCAAATGACATAGTCAAAGTCACAGCTCCATCAAGGGCAGGTGCAAACCCAAACAACATCCAACATACTAATTCATTTCTATACCCTCTATAAATATGGATTGCAGAGGTATGTCAAAACCACTGCATATTTATTTGGGCAGCAGCATTAATTAAATGTGCATGTATACTCTATGAACTGTGGTGCATTCACTTTTAGAGTACAAGCAGATACGACTTCTTCAGCTGAGAAATGACATACTTGAAAAAGTCCTCATATTGCATTCATATACGTCTCCACTCCAAAACAATATGTCAGGAAATAAGAGCTTCACTTCCTTGTTTTTTCAAGTCACAAATAAATGTAAAGACTGGAAAAATTATGGAAGGTTTAAATAAGCATTTTTCCCCCTGAAATGGCATATCTCAAACTTTATCTAATGTACAGCATTTCCTGAATTAATGTTAACCTACTGCCATAGCATAAAGAAATTCTAGGGAATGCTGCGTGTTTGTCAAAAAGTACTTTGATGTCCACAGATAAAATAGCCACAAAATTACATAATAAATTATATGTTTAATTTCTTGGGTGGCAAGGTTTTGGTATCAATGTGTTAATTTAAATTTTATTTATAAGACAGATGAAGAGCTCTTCCAATGCTGATCCATCTGGAAATAAACCTTTATGTTAGAATTCATTAGAGCACAAGAAATGTACCTTGAGCTGATTGCATATTCAGGCAATTAAAAGCACGGGATGCAGGGAAGCCAATTACCCAACACACACTTAGTGTTCTCAGCTGGCTGCATGAGGTAAGGTTTGTGAAGGGAAAAAGTAATGTCTTGTTCATATTATTGTTCATTTCCAAACTTTCTCAGGCGTATGCAGTTAGTAACTGCCCTTTTTTACACACAAAAAAAAAAAGTGTAGGGAAACAAGCATTATGACAGTCCCAGTGAGAGGAAAACTACTGAGGCAGAAAGGATTATAGATGATTTGGTTACATCTCACTCACGTTCTCTATTAGTCAGGAGCAGAACACCAATTTCTACGGATGTATGATAAGTAACACATATAGGTATGAACACCCACAGGTATAGACCTATCTCCACACTCACACCTGGATATCATAATTAATAAAAAATTGTGGGAGTGGATTTACTTTTCAGAATTAACTCATCAAAAGGATGTAATCACACAAGAATATTTCAAATACAAAACACAGAATCAAGACAATAAGCATGTAGTGAACATAAAGCTATTAAAAATACAAAAGATATAAAAAGGACACAATACCTTTTGTTTTTCAGGTGTTTCGTTTTTGTTTTGTTTTGTTGTTTTTTGTTTTGTTTTGTTTTTTCTTAGGTTATCCCTTGAAGGGCAGAAAAGGAGCATTTTAGATTCATGACAGCTCACCCAAGTAACCATAGCTGGAAAGTCTTCCTTAAAATTTATGGCAGACCATAGCACTGGGATACAACAGAAATAGCTAGTATGCCATCAAATATGTTCACCTGCATTTTAGTAAGAATTAAGAAGGCTTTTGACCTATAAAGCTAATTTTTTTGAGCTAAAAGGATTTCCAAAGCATTCTCACCTTTTCCCTTCAATACACAGCCTCTGAGATAGATTTCAAAAGGAGACTCAAATATGTGCAGAACTCCAGGGAGACATAGAGAGAAAGAGAAAGGAGTTTCCTGGTTGACGGCAGACATGCAGCTTGAAGAGACAACAGGAAACTGAACAGCAGAAAGAAACTAAAACTACCTTAATTATTTTGTTGAAGAAACACCACTTCAAAGTCATACTGGCTCATTAAGAGGAAAAGGCCAACACATGTGACCAAACTGACTATACTGATAGAAGAGGGGCTTTCAATTCTCTAGCTCTGTTACCCTATGCAGTATACTGGAATTGATCTATTTTAACGTGATATCTACAGGACTAAGGAAACACATAGCATAGAAATTGTAGATAAAATCAATCTTGGAATGCATTTAATGAGGTCAGCAAGCTGTCAACCTGGTAGGTGACAAGTTTGCAGCTAAACATGAAACAATTACAAAATGTTGTTTAAGATCACTCTCCTCCAAGGAGTTCAGCTACAAGAGAGAAGCCAAAGACTGTGATTCACCTGTAAAGAAACAAGGGCTTCAGATGAGTCTTTGGGGATTTGGCTGGAAAGTGTCAATAGCTGTGTATAAGTGCAAGACAGTGCCCAGAGCAAGAATTGGTATGGCGACAGCAGAAGCCTACTCTGAAATAAAACTGAAATAAGGACAGAGGTGCTTCTCAAGCCTAAGCCTTTCTTTAAAGGCAAGCAGGAAGCTACTCTGTTCCTTATTTTCCTACTATCCACTTGGCATCTTGTCTCTTCATCTCCTCTCCTTAGAGCCTTCCTGGAACTGTAAATAGACAAAGTCTAGAAGTCCAGGTCCTCTTGTGTTGAGAAAAAAAAAAAAATGTCAATTACTTCTTGTTGCTTTCCCTCTTACTCTTGAGCATGCTCCCAGGTGCAGAGACTGAAGTGTTGTTTTATCAGATGAGCATGTCTTTTGAAGATTTACGTGTTCAGATTATTGCCATAACATCAGTGGTCACCAGATTCAAGTACCTGTCTCTTCGTAGGAATGATTTGTACTTGTGACTGATAGGGTCTTTTCTGTTTGGTACACTTAGAGAGGCTTATCTCTCTCATCCTCAGTAAATCCTTAAACATTATGAACATTCAAATTTCACTGCTGTGGGTAAAAGCAGAAAAAATGCTATTGATAACGGGGTCAGAAACTTTTTGCCTATAGCAATTCTTCTACATAATGGAAGTATGTAAAGATTATTAAACGTGGATCTGTAGTTTAAATCATTCCATAGCAATAAGAACCAGGAATGGGAAACTGGCAATCCATAAAAGAGCTTTCTTGTTCTAATTTGTTTTTATTCTACAGAGGAAGGTTTGCGGAAAGGACGTGGTCACTTTTTGTGTATTATTCTCCAACAGGATGACCAACATTCAAGTAGCTTACCTCTAAATGGAAAGAAAGAAATTGTGAAATAACATTTTTTGGCAGAAAAGACTATCTTCAAGAGCCATTAAAATTTATTGTGCATAACAGGATAACGATGATGTAATGGAAAGAGGTTGCTGCTGGTGATTTTACAATATCATATTGAGACATAATGTAAAAGTTAGCATGACAATAATGTAATACTCTTTAATCACATTAAAATAATTTCTAAAAATTAATATGAAATAGCAGAGAATATAATTAAAATGGAAAAAAATATGGAAAACATCCAACTGTGGAACAAAAGAAAAAGCACAATGAAAGCCAAAACTGATAATTAGTACGCAGAAGAGATCAAAGGCCTCAATATTAAAGGCACCGCCTTTGTTCTGGGACTGCCATTCAACCAGTTTATGGACTGAGAAATCTACATGAATAAAGCTTAATATTGGTGAACAAATCTGCAAATGATATTCCTGAAAAACTTGCTGGAAATATCTTCTCCAAACTATTCAACTTTACTAGCCATCACGAATACAAAGGAGATGAGTGATCTCTCATGTCTGACAAAATTAGCATTTGGGTTCAGTACTTGGGTTTATATGGAAAATGTGTTTATATGGAAAATGCATATATGGGGAAAAAGAAATAGGGGCAGATTTTGAAGGCAAAGAATTCTAGTATACACAATTCCAGGAGGCTGCAGTTCTAATGCAGTACATTTCAGGGTGAAGCTTAAGAAACTGCAAAGGAATATAAGCTATTAGGAAACCAAAGGTTCAATAAAATACCTTAAGACCAGAAAAGTTCCATAAGGGGCCAAAAGCAAGTTCTTTCTGTCTATATGTGTATAAACACTGTATAAGTATGTGTCTATTACAGGATGCCTCCTGATTACTGGTAAATGAACATAGCCTCTCTCTCTCTCTCTTCACAACTGTAATTGTTTGTGCATAGCTTGAGCAGCTGAGCTTTTTAATTTATATCTTTGCAGGTGTGCTTCAGTTATGTATGTAGTACGAAGGAGGCCTGCAACACATTCTACGCTTATCAACTATGAATATGTCACCATTACTTATCTATCTTCATAACCCACTTTTCTACATTTTCAGTCAAAGTTCCTGTAAATTTCTGTCCCTGTGTTTGAGATATTTTCACATTGGCTAACAATTTTTTTTTTGTTGTTATAAAGCAACACAGATGTTCTAGGAGCTCACAGTTAAGGAAGAACATCAGTTTTGAATATCAGGAAAGAGAATTTGAAATGTATTTTT